TTCATTGCTGCAACCTAAAACAGACTGTCCCAGGTATGGGGGCCTGATTGGTGGGTTTCATTATGTTTTGATGTGGGGACTGGTATTTAACTGGGCTCTCATTTCCTCTACCTCCCCTGCTCCAGAATATCAGAACTGTAATCCTGCCAGAAAGGTGATACTGTTTTTCTGATGTGTCAAGCATTTCTGAAAAGGACAAAGTTTACTGCTCAGACCCCTGTATGATGTTTGCACAGAAACAGTGTAGTAGCATTTAAGTCTATCTACACAGGCAGTCAGGTCGTCAAATTCCAGGAAACGAAACAACCTGCTCATACTGCTGCTTCTTTAAACCAAAAGGGATGCGTGTGGCCTTTGAGCTATCTCAGGGTCCAGCCAGGAGACTGACCTGTCTGCAGGAGACTGTGCATACAGAGGAATAGTAGACTGGCTAGGGAGGAGGACAGCCATAGTGTGTAAAGTCTCCCACCATGGCCGATTTAATAGACATCACCAAAGACGAAGATGGGAAGAAACGCACAGTCACACACCATCATACAGTCTTTCCACCACAGATACACAGATATAACTTAGAGAGAATAGGTTATAGTAAAATGATTTGGAGGGGATGAATTTTGACTACATGTTAGCTTTGTTTTTGATATAATGTATTTAATTTTAAGTTTACATAACTTCAACAAGCTGTGTTTAACAACTGTTTAGCAAAATCCCTAAGAAACTCAACGATTAACTCTCATAAGCCTGTAGGAGCCAGTGCCTACACACCACTAGCTAGAAAGAAATGTGGCCATCGTGTGGTGGCTAAGAGGTCAAGTTCACATCTCAGGAAGACACTCCTGGACATCCAGAGCCATCTGGACAGAATCTAACAGAGTGGCTGGGGCAAAGTCTAGAAGATACTATTTTGTTGTGGCAGCAATTGAAACCCAATCAGAGGTGTCAGCGCTAAGGGTTTAATCCCTCTGTAAACACAGCTGTGTGAAATTCTTCCATCACATGCTACTCCCTGCTGAACTGGACAAGCCTAAAACTTGCCCCACCTTTCCCTGAAAATGGCCGGTTGTTCCCTGAAGAATCACTCCCCTGGTCAGCTCCTCGTCACCTCTGTCTGGAACGAGCTGAGTCACAGGGCATGTTTCAAGATATCCCTCAAACACCCCAGAGATTACAGTCTTCTGCCTCCACTCGGAAAGCAGAGGCAGCCCCAGACGTTCAGCTAGGACCGGCAGCTCCAAGCCCTGGAGAAGCCTCTGGCAAAAGAGTCACTTCCCAGAGCACAGTTTGGGATAAAGCCGACCAAATCCAAGAATAGAAAGGGTTATGAAATGGATCTCTGTAGCGACGCAGAATGAGTGCAATTAATTGTTGTTAAAGCATTTTGCTGGCTGCATTCATCTCTTATGCAGAACAAAACTGTCATAGCGATGACAACTTTATTCAACATTGGCACAATTACCAAACCTAAAAATAGAAAGCAAGGGGGAAATTTTTTTGAAAGGGCTAAGCTCTGTTACCCATGTCACATGCCTGGGACAGTCCACCCCCAGGATCGAGGGAGGAAAGGAAGAAAGCTGAGATTCATTTAATGTTTCTACGTATTACTTTGAGAAGCATTTTGCCCATGTTATCTACATAATTCTCCCTGCAGCTCTGTGAAGAGAGGGGAAGCAAGATGGAGCACTGAGAACCCAGATTTGTTGAGCACCCATTGAGAGATGGGCTTTCTGCTACAAACATTCTATATGTAATTTACTTTAATTATCACAACACTCAAAGGGAGATATTAATCGTCCCAGTCTTATAAATGAGAAAGCTGAGTCTCAGAAAGGTTAAGAAACTTGCATAAGATCCAGGAGCCCAAATTCTTCTGATCACAAAGTCATTTACACTGAGTTGCTTGCTGTGAAACACCTGAGCTCAGCAGAGTCACAGTCCTGTGCCATTTTCATCTCTTCTCTTCTTCCCCACATCCTATTGTCTTCCCTATACTGAGTCACTCTTTCAAGAATGCAAAAATGATCAAGGCCTTGGAATCAAAAAGAATTGGGTTGAAGTCTAGGCTGCATGACTTATTAGCAATTGTGACCTTGGCTCATGTGCTTGACTTCTATAGGCTTTAGCTTTTTTGTACATCTGTGTGGTAGAGATGAGATTTCACTATGTTGCCTAGACTGGTCTTGAACTCCTGGGTTCAAGCAATCCTTCCTCCTCAGCCTCCCAAAGTGCTGGGATACAAGCGTGAGCCACCAGGCATTTTCAACTATCAACTGAAGACAGTAATAGTTCCTATTCCATAATATTGTTCTGGGTATTAAATGAAACCACATATGCCAAGTGCTTTGCAGAGCATTCATCACATAGCAAGTATGTGGCAGTAGTTGTTATCATTACTGGCTGGAGAATATGGCGCTGAAGAGAGGGGACAGGTCCTAACCTGACCTCCACTCAGGATACTATAGATGGGACAAGGTCTCAGGAAGGCTGGGACTTCTAGAGGTCTTCAATCCTTCTGCACATGGTCAGTTGACTTTATGGTCCCCCCAAAGGGTAGATCTTTGCCCTAGCATGGGCACAGGGTAGAGTAAAGACAGCGAGGAAGACTTACCCTCTATGGTTAGGGTGAGAACTATGAGCAAGACATGTTCTGAGTTACTTGTACAAAAGAACTCATTTAATCTTTAACACAAGCCAGTGCCAAGAGTTCTACTATTCTCCCACTTCAAAGAAGTGAAAAGTGAGTTTAAGTGATTCTCCCAAGTCCCGTGCTGGCCTGTTGGGCATAGTCATGTCCATAGCTCTGCCTCCCTAAGAGAACAGGAACCAGTCATCGACACTGCCTTCAGGGGATGTCTCTGCCTCCCTGGGAAATTCCCTTCTTGACCCATGCTTAGTAAGGTGAGCTCTCCATTACTCAAGGAACTTACTCACTTTGAGAGCATCAGAGCTCTGGGAAACTCTCAGAAATTTCTTTTGCTTTTCTCTCTTCTCCCCTTTGGTCATTTCTATGGGATAAATAAGAGATATCCAAGCAAGCAAAATTGTGTGATAAGAGGTAGACCTAGGTTTAGGTCCAGCTGTTGCTAGACACACCCCTAGCTAGCTACGGATCTCTGCATCAGAGTTCCTGCATCTATAAAATAGAGATATCTACCTCCTATTGTTATGAGGATCAGGAAAAAGCACATGAAGCATATAGAACACTGCCTAGCGCCTCCATTTGTAACTATTGTTATTATTTGGCCACTTACTTATAGCGCTGAACTCCTGTTCTGGGCTAGCTCCCCTAGGGAGGACTCATCGTCCCGGAGACTCCCTGGTTTCCTCATCAGTGAAGTGAGGATGAGAATTTCTGACCTGCTTTGTAGGATTGTTGTGAGGGTTGAGTGAGACTGTGCTATGAGCAATGTGCCCCCTTAACTGTACCCATTACTTGTATTTGTATTGTGATTAGCTTCTTCCAGAAACTGAAAATTTGCTGAGACTCCCAACAGATCACTGGAATTACTTCCCAGTCACAGCCTGTGGGAGGGAAGTATTTGAATGTTTCCCTTTCATAAACATAAGAGCTTGCCTAAGAGGAACCTGCAGCTTTTAAAGTTTTTAAAGGACCATCTTAAGAGAAGAGCCTCCCATAATAAAGCAAAACTGAAGCTAGTACATGAAGGGAAAGAAAACTGGGCTGCTCAGGCCTTTCCTCTAAAGCTCTATTTTTTATTTTTTTATTTTTTTACTTGTTTTTGAGTTGGAGTCTCACTCTGTCGCCCAGACTGGAGTGCAGTGGCCGCTCCCAGCTACCGCAGCCTCGACCTGCTGGGCTCCGGTGATCCTTCCACCTCAGCCTTCCAAGTAGCTGGAACTACGGGCGTGCGCTACCACGCCCGGCTAATTTTTGACTTATTGTAGAGATGAGGTCTCGCCAAGTTGCCCAGGTGAGTCTCGAACCCGCAGGCTCAGGCAATCCACTCACCTCAGCCTCCCAAAGGCGTGGGATTACAGGCTGAGCCACTGAGCCCGGCTAAAAGCTCTATTTTTAAAATCTACTTTTCTCAAAAATTCAATGTTATAAAATCTTCTCCTTTTCTCAAAAGGTTAATGCGATCCATCAAACCTTAATAGAACCCTAAGCTACGTTGGCAACATTCGGGTTGATGGAAAGGCTGTAGGGTTTTTTAAGTCCTGTGTTCCAGGTTCAGAAGTAGGTCTGCCACTGCTATGTGACTATAGGCAAGCTACTTACCCTTTCTGAGCCTCAACTTCCTCCCTTACAAAACGGGAAAAAGAATAATAGCAACTTCACAGGATTGTGAGAAGGGTCAAATAAGATGTGGAAGCAACCTATAAAATGTAAAACACAATGTAAATGTGAATGGTTATTACTTACTACTAAGAGAAATGATAGCAAATGTAATACTCAGTCACAATAAATAGAGGGCCTTAGGAAGTTGGTATCTCTGTGTCCTCCTCCTTGATAAGTTTGAATTTCCCATTCCCATTTCCATTTTAACAGTCTTTGTGGATTTGTGTCTCTTATCCAGAGCCACTGTACTTTGGAAGGAGTCAAAAGTATAAAAACAAACAAAATAGCTCCTTGGTGAGAAGTAGCATGGACCATTCACCCTCTTCATTCAGCTGCATTTGTAAAATGGCTGTGAGCCAGATTTACTGTCTGCAGCCTGGAATCCAGGGCGTGTTTCTCTGAATGAGGGAAACTAGTCTTCACAGGAATAAAGCCACAGTGAGGGCCAAGCAGCCCTAAAAGTAACTCTAGCCCCAAAGACCTAGCCTTTGGAAAAGGGTATCGGCCAAGGGGAAGCCTTCTTCCAAAAAGAATCACCTCCAATTCTCTGGTTTTATACCACTAATCTTAGAACAGAAGTCTACTTTTTGTTTCCTGTAGAACTTTGAAACTTTGCCTTTTCTACCTACCAGTTTGCCAACCATACGTAGACAAACCCAGACTGTGATGGAGTTGAAATGAGAGAGTCAGTTGGGTGAGACACTCAAGTTGTCACTGCATTTTAATAAACATAGCACACAATGGGTTGTTACACAAACACCATTCATAAACCTGAGTCACAGGTTTCAGATGAGTTGGGTACATGTATAAATAGCCTATGGATGTCAAATGGTAGAAAAGAAAGGAAGTTTGGGGAAGAAGGTCAAAATCACCTAGCCCGATTTAAACATCATAAAAATCTCAGCCTTGTCATTATTTACAACCCCCAGCACAATTCCCACCCAAAAGAGAGAGAACAACAAATGGAAAATTCTAAATAAGCTGATGTCCCCACATTGAACTAAACAGTACAAATGATGCAGCATCATAACATGAAGTTATAATTATACTGTCTCATTTCCTGGCTGCCGGGTGCCCATGGTACAGAGCAGCCACTCTACAGGATTTTCTGGGCTCAGAACTGTTTTGGGATCTTTCTGAGAATGTAGCTTTGACTAGCATTGACCAAGTGATTTGTATTAAAAGACTGTGATGGTTTGGGGTGACAACAGAAGAATACAACTTGTGGTGGTGAAGGACTAACACCTTGAACATGTTGCAAACGTTTTAGAAATCCATTTTTCCTATCTGTCTTCCTCCCCAGCTGAAAACAGCCCTGCAGGCGCCAGGCTGGTTATAGCTGAAGGCAAATCCCACACATCCTCCAGCACTCCTGTTTGAGGTGAAGGGCATGGCCGCGGCTCGGAAGAAATGCAACAAGAGTCTTGGGCAGCCCACCACATTCAACCTTGAGGCCTTCAATGGGTCCCCACAGACTTGGCCTTAACTCTGGGTCACTCTATTCCTTAGCAGACATCTTGTAGGCTTCCAGCCTCCACTCCCATGGCCCAGGAACTCGGTGTGAACTTGCAAGGTGCTGTTCAGTGAAGTGGACTCAGAAGCAGGGATTCTCTCTCAAGAAAGGTGCAATTGTTTCGTCACCTACTCCTCCACGCCCTCAATGCTCAGAAGGGCTCTACAACCCGTGTGTGGGATTCGAATGCCAAAGACTGACACACAGGGCAATGACAGACACGCAGGATTAACTCAGCCCCCAGCTACTGTGCCATTCCAGCTCCAGCTCAGTCAGCCTTCCTGCCAGGTCTCTTTCTCACATGCCCCCACTTTGGTTCCTTCTCCAGTCACCAGCAGAAATGCACTTCTCGGCCTCGGGCCTCTTTCTTCCCAGTCTCTGATGACGTGCATGGTCTTTGCATTAAGAGCTCACTAAAGTGTAGATCATGCTGAATGCAAAAAAGAAAAGGAAAAGAAGGCGTTAGTGTTAGTGGGAGCCCTCAGGCCAGCAAAAGAATCTTCCACAGACCAGATCCCTTGCCTTCTCCCTCATTCCCATCACAAGAGCATCTCACCAATGGCCCTCCTGTGCCCCTACTACTTCCCACAACATATTGTGTCTTTTGGATAAAAGGCTTGATTGCTCCAAGTGCCTATTATTATTCTCATCAGGATGATTATTACAGTTGTTATGACTTTTCAAGCAATTGCAGGGCAGATCTGGGGGTGGATGCAGTGGATTCTTTATGCCACCAGCTGCCACATGCGTGTATAATGGCTGTGTCCAGGGGCTCCCAGATTATGCTGGATAATATGCCAGTACTAGGGAAAGGATAATCATCACTACTGGGACATCAACCAGTGTGTGAACACAAGCCCTCTGAGTACGGAACTAAATGAATTCTTAACTGGGTAACTCCCTGGCCCTCAGGAATTCAGCATGCATTAAAAACACGTGACCTAGGTACTGCTCCAACACAGTCAAGGAAGGAGGGATATGTACCCCGTGCTCCTAGAAAGAGCTTCAGGTTAATTCTGCAAGACTGAAGAATGATCCACATCGAAGTGTACTAATTTGTCTGTTTGGCAGAAAGCAAAACCACCACCTTTTCACATCAAGAAAAGGTTAGTCTAAGATGTAGAACCAAAGGAAAGAAACTAAAATCTTTCACTCCTAACCCTAGGCAGCCGTGCGGGTCCAATGAGCCCTTTTCAGTAGCTAAAGTTCCATCTTCCAGAACCTGATATGCCTCAAATTTACAGAGTGCCACTGGTCAGGCCTGGAGATGGAGGGACTTACTCTACATGGGGAAGTCCAGGGTCAGATGACAAGTGGATCGCTACAGGTTGCACAGCTATGGATGGCAAAGTGAGGAACCACATCCTGACTCCAAAGCCAGTGCTTTTCTCATTACATCACTGAGCCTCATCGTGGATACCTTTGTTTGCTTTTTTTCATTCCTTTCATTTGATATTTATTGAGCACCTACTGTATGCCAGGCACCAATCTCAAGAACAATGGTGAGTGTACAGTTCCAATCCCTACCTTAAGGAAACATACAGCCAAGCTGTGGACAAGGACTGAATGAGTACCTCCTCTGTGGCAGACCCTGGCCAGGGCACTGCATACACAGAGGTACATAAAACCAATGCAGTCTTTGCCATCGGGGGCAAGTAAACCATAAAATAATAAAGTTATAGATTGACAGAAATAAGCCTGATGAAAGGCAGGCATGATCCGGATTAACTAGGCAGGAGGTAGTGCTACTTCAGGCAGCTAATATCAACCCACTTTACATTCTTGGTTTGGAAAGTTCTTTCTACGGAGGAGACGGTGTTCACACTGAACTCACTGGCTAGTAGTATTAGTGTATTAGCTAGTCCCCGTACCCTGTAACCCACCAATCACCTGGCTCATGAGGCAAACTGAGAAGGGGGGTGGGTGCCCTATAATTAGCACCGTGTGGTGGAAAGAGCACAGGGTCCAGAGCCAGATAAGTTGCTGATTGTTAGCTGGGACCTTGGACACGTTTCTTAACCTCTCTGAGGTCCTCAGGAACCTCAAACTGTAAAATATCACCCCAGCCCCCAGCCCCCTTCTCAGTTGTTGTCCTCCTGTGAGTCTCTAGCCCTGTGCTCAGCTCAGAGACAGCTCTGCACACACACGGCTCCCCTTCTCCCCATCCCACAGTAGCCTGCGCTGATGTTCCAGGACTCTCCACCAGCTCTGGATCTGAGGGGCTGGGAGCTTCTGAGGCGGGAGAAACAGGATCATCAAGGAGCTCCAAAGAGCAACAAGAGGCCAGGTTCAACAAGGAATGTGGGTGCCCTCTGGCCGCCACCCTGGGTCCCAGCGAGGTGGAAGAATGGCCTCTTCCAATTTTGTTTTGGAAACAAAGTAATTAACAAATGTAAATGTGCCGTGAAGGCAGTGCCAGACTGCAGTAATGAACTGTAGGATACATTCAGAATGTCTGGAACACACTCGGTACAAAATGATCACACCCACCTAGCATGGGGAGCTGCCAACACTGCCCCTCATGCCCCCTCCCGCCCCCATGGCCGAGTGCATAGGGAGCTGCCGCCTGCTCCTTGTGAATTCACATGCCTTCTTCTTATGGGCTCCAGCAATTACTGTTACAAAACTGAAATGAGAGAGCTTGTCCTGCCTCAGATGGAGGGGGATCCCAGGGTAATGGGGTAGGAGCCAGGGAAAGTTGGCCTTGCTCTGCTGCCTTAGAGGAGAGATGGTACTATCTCTGGGGACAGGTGACGCAGCCTGTGACTGCAAAAAGGGGCAGTGTGCAGCCCCACAAAGAGAGTGGGGCTGAGCACACTCCAGAGAAGGGACCTAACCTCCAAGGTGTCCCTGAGCCCAGAAGGGTACTGTCCACCCTCTATAAGTTTCCCAAGACAGGAGCCTATTTGACAATCTTTAATTGTTAAAGAGTTCAGACTTGGAGTCAGAAAGGTTTGGGTGAACCCACTGGGCACCTCAGAAATTGCCAGAGGCTTCAAAGACCCTCAGACTCCCTGCACGTTGGAGTAGGAAACATTCCAGAGCACCCCATCAAGGACATCACCCTGAGCCTGGACCAATCCTTGACTCCAAGGAAAGTAATCCTGCATCCTATCCATGGCTGAGTCATTCCATTGGAAGTTTTACCTCCCAGGTCTCTAAGTCTGCAGACACTGGAGACATAAAGGGGAGGGAAGGAAGAGCTAAGCACAAGTCTCCAGAGCAGCTAAGGTGTACATCAGAATTGTTGGAAGAGCTCATTTGAAATGCAAAGAGGCTAGCCCCAGAAAGTCTGAATCAGTAGATCTAAGCCCGGGAATTTGCATTTTTAAGAAGCACACCCACCTCACTTTCATAAACCCTTTCTTTAGAGGGTTCCTAAGACAGCCAGTGGTTGAGTTCAGTCTTTGGGATCAGACTTGAGATGGACTTACAGCTGTGACACTATTAACTGTCACCTCAGGAAAATTATCTACCTTCTCAGATTCAGTTCCTCATTTTTCATATGTAGGTAAGGATAGTATTTATCCAATAAATTGAGCATCACATATAGAGCTCCAAGGTCAAAGCCTGACTTGTTTTTAAATGCCAGGCAAATGCTACCAATTCATGGAAGGGGCCATGGAGTCCAACCGCTCCTCTTCACCTGGCCCCTTCGGAGACAGCATGGGAAGCATTGGGGATAGATCTGGCCCTGCCACTGGTAATGGCAGGATAGCATGGTGACAGGTGAGAGTCTCCAGAAATGAGTCAAAAAGGTCGGGAAGGAAGAAGAGACAATTTCAGAAAAGGCATTCTCTGGGGTGTCAAACCATAAGACAGTCTGTTTATAGTTATCTGCTTAGCTAGGGTGTTCTGAGAGGTGCAAGGAGGGGAAATTCCTGAAACAGAATTGCAAAGTCAGCAGGTTTTACTTAATTAGAACAGTGTTATGTCATATTGGGAGAACAGTAAGTGAAGCATTTAGCAAACCAACATGCCACTTTGGGAAGCGTGACTGCCACTGTGGGGCTGAGGCGGGTGAGGGTGCTCTGTTATGGTACCCAAGATGCCTCACCAACAGGCTAGGGGGCAAGGGGTGATGAGGTTGGGCATCTGGGACCACAGGGAACGAGGCCGGTTGAACTGCCGAGTTGTGAGAGGCAGGACGTCCTTTCGGGAAGAAGGAGTGACCAACCACACCTCACCAGTTATCTCCTAAGAACTGTTGTTCAAAAGTGTTTTCACTGTGTGGCCCTACAGATGCGGCCCACCTCCTGCGAGACCTTCTGTCCCCCTTAACTCCTTTTTACAGAAACCCTGTTCCCAAGCCAGGGTCAGATGGCTGGGATCAAACTCAACTGGCCATGACCGCCACCCTCACTGGCCGTCTTCCAAAGGCCGCCTCCCCAAGGCCAGCCTGAAATTATCTTCCGTTTTGCTGCTAAAGTCAAACCTGCCCAGAGAGTCAGAAACTCACCAGTAAAGGTAGTAGAAGAAGGAGAGGAGATAGAAGGCCAGCTTACACCAGGCCTCCTTCTGACAGTAACTCAAGGTGTCTGCGTTCATGACCACCGGTGGGTCGTAGGCTAGTTCTGAACTGTCTGCCGGACAGTGGAAATACCTACAGGGAGAGAGTACATGGCATCATTGGTGCAGAAGCTCTGGGACTTCCAGCATCGCGTGGGCCAAGCCCTCCTTCCGTTGAGCAATCTTGTCTTCTGCCCAAATCACAGTCCTAGTGCAGCTAAGGAGTGGCTCAGCCACTACCTTCTAGCAGGTAGTAAGTCCCCCAATACCCGGTTCCACTGGTATCACGGTGATTTCGCCCACTTACAAAGCTGCTCTGACAGATGGAAAACGATGTTACCTGGTATTGCCTGGGAGGTACAAGAAAGAGTCTCCTTTCAGTAGCAGTGTCGAGAGAGTTACAGGACTACACTGTCACTGCCTGGATGCCATCTCACCTACATTCTACCTTAAAAACGACTTTGGATTAAGTATTGTCTTTTCTACACAGACCCTCATTTAAAATCCTGAGGGCTCTGGGAGAGATATCAAATTCCCACTTGGGTGTTCAGATACTTTCCTTCTTGATAGAAAGACCCAGAACGGCAAAAAGAATATCGGCCATCTGTGGGGAAAGCAGCCCTGGGGGAAGCTGGGGAAGCAAAAGGAAGTGGATGGGAGAGAGGAGACCGGGAGAGTGGCTAAAGCAAACTTTGTCTGCCACAAAATGCCACGTTCACATCAGATCAACTGGCCAAGGCCATAAAGGAGGGGACACTCAGGCTTGCTGAGACCTGGGGTGGGAGCCTTAACCTCTCTCGGAGCCCCTTGGTGAGTGGTTGCTGACCTCAGCTCCCATCCTCCCATCCTCAGGACGCTGTCTCTGGGCCACAGCCTCCTGTGGAGCCCAAGAACAAAGTGCAGCTGAAATTGCTCAGCGGGCTGCTTTTTAGTCACTCTGGAAAAGGCATTAATTTGCAGGAATGCAGATGAGTGGCTCCCTAGGCTTCTGGACAGGCAGTGGCTCTCAACAGTGAGCAATGACCCAGAGAGTGGACCCTGACTAGAAGATGAATCACACTGGCTTTGAAGAACTTCCCCACAACGTAGTAACTCACAGATCTGGCATCTCAGTTCCCTCTTCCTTCCCCTTCAGAGAATTGTACTGACGTTATCTGTCACCAACATTATGCTGAAAGGAAATCATGAGCAGGATTCGATGATATCTGCCAGCTCACAGCCCTCCAGGCCACTCATCCCTCTTCTTCCCAGGAGCAGTTTGCAAGAGCTATTTGTTTTCACTGTGGATTTGTTCCCAGGTGACCTCATTAAGTGGAGACAGAGGGGGAGGGTGACAAGTGGCATGGTAGAAAAAGCCAAGGCTCTACCATTCATTGGTCACCACGCCATCTTTCCTCAGGTCGGTTATTTGGCCTGTCAGAGCCTCAACTTTCTCACCTGTAAAATGGGGATGAAATTACCTACCTCAAAGGGCTACTGTGACAATTATGTGAGGTGATGTACGCAAATAAACTGCAAAGAACAGGCACTGAATAAATGGCAGACAGTTCTATTTCCATCTAAACAAATTGAGAGCCAGAGTAGAAAGCAACTTTCTCTTTTTGTTTGTTCGTTTGCTTGTTTGTTTTGAGTTGGCATCTCACTCTGTTACCCAGATTGGAGTGCAGTGGCCGCTCCCAGCCACCGCAGCCTCGACCTGCTGGGCTCCGGAGATCCTTCTGCCTCAGCCTTCCAAGTAGCTGGAACTACATGCACGTGCTACCAGGCCCGGCTAATTTTTTGATTTATTGTAGAGATGAGGTCTTGTCAAGGTGCCCAGGCAGGTCTCGAACCCGCGGGCTCAGGCAATTCACTCACCTCAGCCTCCCAAGGCGGAAAGCAACTTTCTCTACATGAGAAGTGTCACTGGATGGGACCTGCTGGAAAGGAAGGGGAAGAGGAATGGGGTGGGAAAAGAAGGAGTGCAAGCGATCTGGTTTTTAAAGGACTCCTTCCCTCCTCATTCTCTTTTTTCTTTCAATTCTGAGCACTTACTAACTGCCAGGAACTAGGCTAGATCCTGTCAGGGACTCAAGAAAAGTAAGACAAGGTCCCTACTGGCAAGTAGATTACAGTGGCTCTCTTCTTTTTTTTTTTTTTTTTTTTTTTTTTTTTTT